ATATGGAGTCCTAAGGTCATTTCCACTAAGGCCTTGTTCAGGATTGGGATCATCTCCCCTGAAGCTCTTTGCAGCCTGAAGTGTTGGCTAGGCTTCCTTTTGGGCCATCCTGCAGTGATGTCTGGCCCAACAATAGGCATAGAAGCCCCAGGGTCAGTAGTCACTGGTTTGTCACCAATCCATTCCTGGATGATCGAGCTATTGTCCCACTTTCAGGTATGATGTTGAATGTTGGGAGGTTGGGTGTTAATTGAGATGCTAGTATTCCCCCTTCCTATGGGCATCTGCTCATTCTCTGAGAGTCGGCCATCTCTTCACATTGACTGTTCTTTCCTCCAGTGTTGATCAACCCATCTTGAAGGTCCTGGTTGTTTCTTGAGCACTGTTCAGTTCTTTTCATCAGCTGTCGTTTCTTCTTCCAGCATTCATTGTTTTGCATTGCGTGCTAGTCCTCTTGTGTCCATTGTTGGTCTTCATCTTCATTCAAAGGTGGCAGTTGCTCCTACAGCGTCATTACATAAGCTGTTAGTATTCTCTCCCTACTCTTGGGGAAGACTGATTTTTCCAGAATGTCCTGACCACCATCTGCTGGAGCCTGGAGGGCATTCCCTCTGCTGTGTCAGCTGCCTACCTAATCCTGCTGGCAAATGCATCGGCAGCAACATTGCTAATTAGGTGTTCGGGTAATTCACTGTGGGCGTGGTGAGTGGCAGGCTCCTGTAGAGATTCCCTGATGTGCTGGGTCCTGTTCAGTTAAGAATGGAAAGGTGCTTCCACATGATGGTCACTGCAACGGTTCTCTAGCACCATAGTAACCTCTTCATGCGTTGCTCTGGTAGTGATGCAATATGTGTATCAGAGCAGCGATCAGGTATGTGGCTTTCTCTCTAGCATTACTTACTTACTCATGGGGCTGAGCCCTTCTTGAGGGGCAGCCAATTCTGCAGCTGCTCAAGAATTTGCCAGCATTTTATTGAACCCAAAGGTTCATTACCGTGTTCACAAGAGCCCTCCACTGGTCCCTATCCTGAGCCAAGACTTTAATATTGTTCACCCACCTGTGCCTTCGTCTTCCCAGTGGTCTCTTTCCTTCTGGCTTTCCCACCAATATCCTACATGCATTCCTTGTCTCCCCCATTCGTGCTATGTGCCCTGCCCACCTCATTCCTTGGCTTGATCTTTCTAATTATACGTGTAGAAGAGTACACGTTATGAAGCTCCTCATGATGCAGTTTTCTCCAACCTCCTTCACTTCATCTCTCTTCGGCCCTAATAATCTCAGCACACTTTCACATTTTTCTCCAATACCTGACAAATGCAAAAGATCTGATCTGTAGTTCATCTGTCACATTGGAACCAACACTGATGATCCCCAATAATTTCATCTATCTATGGACTTAACCTTGAGAGAAGAATATTGGATAAAATTTCATGAAGTTGATGGCATTGATATCCCCCAATAATTACTACAGTCAGTTTTATTACCCATCTTGTGAATTGGTGCAATAATTGACTCCTTCCACTGATCAGGTAATTTTTCTTTATGCCAAGTAGAAGTTTAGCTTATGGATCTTAGAACGTAATACTTTGCTTCCTTCTTGAACAAGTTCTGCTGGAATTTGATCACTACCTGGCGATTTATACCTTTTCAATTTTTCAGTAGCACTTTCAAACTCAAAAGGGCTATGATGAGGTCCTAGTGGCTCAGCTGTATGTATTTCTATCTGCCTAACATCACTGATCCTACATGCATTTAATAACTGAGAGAAGTAGTTCCTCCACCTGTTGAATATGTTTTGTGAATCTTTAAGCAGATTACCAGTCTCGTCCTTCACTAAATTACTGCTAGGCTGGTAACTCCTCTTAAAGTCATTTATTTCTGTATGCAGGTCTCTAATGTTCTTGTTCATACTGTTCACTGCATGCTCATCAATTTTATCTTTCAGATATTCCCTCTTTTTATTCCTGAAATGCCAGTTGGTTTCACGTCTTATAGTGTTCAGATTATCCCCATTTATTTCTCTTGGATCCTGTAACCTTTGCAATTTGGCTTGTTTTCTTTGGTCTAGTAATTTTGAGTATCCTTCATTGAACCATGGCTTATGCTTCTTCATTTCATAATAACCTAGACTCTCCTTTGTAGAAATTTTTATACTTTTTCTAATAGTTTCCCAAGCTTTATTAACATCCAGCTCAGTGTCCAAGTTTTGCAAAGCTGTGAATGTGTTTGACATTTCAGTATGATACTGCTCTTTACTCTCTACTTAGTTTAATTTCTTGAGATTGAACCTCTCCATATGAACTCTGTACGTTGTTTGTTCACTCACTGCCAGTCTTTTCCTTACCTTTGCCGCCACCAGGTAGTGGTCAGTGTCACAATCTGCTGCCCTGAATGATCAGACATCGAGTATACTTGAGTGCCGTCTCCTGTCTATCAAGCATGGTCGATTTGATTGTCTGTCTTCCCATCAGGAGATGTCCAAGTAAATTTATGGATGTTACGATGTGGGAACATTGTACTTTTGACAGTAAGGTTTTTGATGTGGCAAAGTTTACTACTCTAACTCCATTATAAATAGTAATTTCATGCAAACTGCCATTCCCAATCGTTGGCTTGAAAATGAACTCTATTCTCTTAACTGCTGATATGATTCTCTTGTGTATGAAAAAACCTGTACCTAATTCGTTATTATCATTACCCTTTCCATAGAAAAATGTATATTGGCCTGCTGGTTCAATGCCACCTCTGTCCTATCTGACCTTCTGTACTCCTGCAAAATCTAACTAGTATTTTAAGATTTCTTCTGCCACTGCCCTGAGGAAACCTGCGCTATATGTACTTCTGACATTCCAAGTAATGAATCTCATATCCTATTTTCTTTAGCCTCGGTCATTTTTCCAGTGGATTCGTCCAGGTCCGAGGCTTTGTGTTCATTTTCATAACAGGCTTTTTTTTACAGTGAGGAATTGTTAGCCCAACTCCCAGACTTGAGGACCACCCTTTGTCGGCTGTTCATGACTGCTTATTCAGTATATTTGTAGCTTCCCTCCATACCTGGATGGCACTCCTCTATCTGCAACCTGAGGATGCGCCATGCCGTGGTGACAAGGGACCTGCCTAACATGGCTCTCTCTGGGCATTCAGTGGTTATGTTTCCGCATGGTCTCAAATTGCCGTCAGAGTGCAGCCCGTGGCATCGTTCCATCCAACTCAGGTGGCTGTGCCACACCTATGTCAATTGCTATGCTCTGGCAAGATGTTTGGTTGGCTTGGCTTTGACTTTTCCTAGCTTGGTCTCAAATCCATGCCACCTGGTTTCTGCTTTGATCCAGGATCTTTGGATCTTTAGGTCAAGCTCTTCATGAGGGTCCTTTGTTGTGTCCGCTGTCTACTCATTAAGGTCTTTCCTTGTTACGTCCATCTCCTTGCTTGTGCTTTGGGTCCGCATATCGAGGGACATTTGTAACCTCAGCTTGCTTTCTTCAGTCTTCAACTTCAGTCCCTCGATGAGGCACTGTGTTCATTGTTTGACAGATGCCAGGACGTCTTCCACCCAACTTTTGATAGTCTCTTCCAGTTCTGACCAAATGGAATTTATTGTGGCCTGCATCTTTATTGGCTGGCCATCACTGTGGCCTTCATTGCTTTTTGGTCAGCCTTAATTTTGGCACTTGTCTCTTCCTGGCCTCTCTTTATTGTGCCCACCGTCTTTTCCTTATTTTTCGGTATCTTTCCTTGGCTGGCCTCAATTGCTTCTTGGCCAGCGCTGACCGCAGTGTCCATCTTACTCTACCTTTTCATTGAATGACATCCAACTTTTCTTGATAAGACCATTACCGCTTCTTGGCTGGAATTCATAAATTGTCAAGTTTCTCTCATTACATCCAGTAGACATTCTACTGTTTGTTCCATTTTGTGTAATATAATATATCTAATGCAGCTTTCAGTCCAATAATTCAATTAATCCAATCCAGTATCACTTCTGACATCAGCTGTAACATGTTAGTGACTAAACACACGGTTTGGGTTGATATTGAATGCTTCTAACCTTATCTAGATATGATTATAAGTCTCGCTAGTATACACACACTAGAAATTACTATGGCTCATACTGAGTCTTCTTGGTCTGTTATGACTTCATTCATCGTTACTCGGTAACACGTTCTTACAGTGGGGTTTCCCCTGTTTCTGTGCTCATGGCTAACCAGCAACTTGACCTCAATCCAGCAGCAGCCTGTATATATAGTGTTAGAGTGTCCATGGGATCATGCTAAGGACTAAGCACAGCAGGATGGAATGTCCTGTTTGCTGGTAGTATGGTGGTGTCAGCTCTCTTAGGGGGAACTGCCAGCAGGGACACTCTCAGAAACACTCTGCAGAAGAAAATTCATCAGGATTGGAGAAATGAAGAGAAGGCATGCAGAAGTGTGAGTTTCACCACTCATACTTGCTTGTTAACAGTGAGCATGTCAGAAAAGCATGGCCATGACAGTATGCACTCTAAGGGGCATATGGGAGAGGGTGGGTTTTGTAACCATTAACACTAGTGCAACTGTGACCTTCGCCAGGCTGCCTAAGAGAGATGGCACACACAGTGCACCCTGCAGATGGCATCCGGGGAAATCATCACCATCTTGAAAAAGGGTTCATAAAACTGATGCCGGTGGTGCCCACTATCCATTTGGATGTTCATCACCAAAATGACAAAATCAATTCATTCTGGGACTGAGCGTCATGTATGCCCATGATGCATCTGTGGATTTGAAGCACCAAATGCTACGGCTGTGTGATGAGGAAGTGCCATTCCAGTGCTCCATGGCAGGTTTCTTGTATATGTAATGTTGGGGTCTAGTCACATGTTGAAGTTGTTTCAATGTTTCGGTGTACACTACAGTTTCCATCTTCAAGGTGAAGGTGTCTAACCCCCCAGCAACCAAAGTTATTCTTCAGGTATGGGCTGCGAAAACCTAAGGTCAAGAATATTCCTTATATGTTGAAGGTTCTTCATGTTTACAAAGCCAGTGGATGTCCAAGAAGTGCCAGATTACTTATCCATCATAAAACAACCAATGGACCTAGAAACAATGATGACAAAAATAGATCTACATCGATATCTGTGTGCTCAGGACTTCCTTGACGATGTTGACTTGTTATGTCGCAATGCGCTGGAATACAATCCAGACAGGTATGCTTATGGACATGGTAAAAATTATATGTGAAGGCAATTCAAATGAAAAATTCTGTTATTTTAACGTGTTCTTAAGCTGCATTTTTTTTTGCGTCATGCATGTGTGTGCACTATGGCAAGCATGAGTAAATCTAGACAGACATGACATGACATTTCCTAAACAGTGGTTCATGTTAAATCATTTAGAAAGCTAGAGGTGCACAATTAGAATTTTTAACTTGTCGAGACAGTTCTGTGCAGAGACATCAGCTACTGACACAAAGAAACAAAGGTTACAAATTCAGCAGGTCATAAATTTAGCCGCTTTAGCCAAAGTGTTGGAAGTAGGAAAATGACTTTTCATGGTGGATATATTGAATACTTGATTTTCAGTCTTAAATTTGTTAACCAGATCTGTGTTTATTCCAGGCCTGCAACACATTTTTCATTATCTATAACTGCTCTTTTACTTGTTCTTATGAAAGATTACATTTGTGTTCTGTATTACAGAGATCCTGCTGATAAGTTGATTCGTCATCGTGCATGTTCCCTGCGTGATACTGCATACACTTTAATAAAAGCAGAGATGGATTCTGACTTTGAGGAGCAATGTAAAGAAATCTCTCGAGCAAGGAGGCAGCGAGCTGAATCTCCGTCCAGATTTGCACCTGAGTTTGTGCGCACCAAACCACAGGCTTCTCGAGCAACTCCAGATGAAGGTTTGGCTAATGGTTACTCTTTATATTATCTATAATATTTTTTGTGAAGAAAATTCTTGTAACTAATTTCTTCTTCATTTGGGTATTATCCCCTCATGGTTTCCTGGGTGTACTTTCCATACTAATATGTTCTCTCAGTCTCCATCTCCCAAAACGAGTAGTGCAGCACGTTTTTCAGCAACTCAGATGACAGAATGGAGCTTGTTGTTGGTTGTTCGGCTGACAAGTCACTCACTAGAAAGAGTTCGATGCCTTCATCTTTGCTCGTTTCAAACCACACTCCATATGCTTCTTAGTTTCACAGTGGCTACAGTCCACGGAAATGTGGCCTCCAGCCAAATTTATTGTGTATAGGAAAGTGGCAGAAACTGTTTAAACACCTTATGTACCATATATGTGAAACGATACTGCATGCAAGTAATCAGAGGTTTAATGATGGGGGCGTTTTAGGATACACAGTAAACCACTATTATAATGGACTAATAAGGTGGATGGGGTGTTCATTATCATCAGTGTCCGCTATAACTGAGTGAAGGGGTATTTGCAGAAAGTACGCTGTAGGATACATAGAAAAACTATATGATTGAGGTTTTATATTGGAGTTTGTTTTCGTTTTAAATAATTTTCTAACTACAATACATTCTTAGTGTCTCAGCGTCTTCAAACATTCACCAGTGAGATTTTGTCTGTTATATCTAAAATCCTCTTATCAGAAACACCTGGAAAGCTTCAAAATGTGGTGTTGGAGAAGGATGGAGAAGATCAGTTGGACCGATTATGTGAGAAATGAAGAAGTGTTATTTAGAGTCAGTGAGCAGAGGAATATCCTACACGAAATAAGAAAACGGAAGGCTAATTGAATTGGTCATGTTTTACGCAGAAACTGCCTTCTAAAATAAGTTATTGAAGGAAAGATAGAGGGGTCGATAGAAGTGACCAGAAGACGAGGAAGAAGACGTAAGAAGATGCTGGATGACCTTGGGGACAGAAGAAGATACTGTCATTTGAAGGAGAAAGCTCTAGATCGCATTAAGTGGAGGAACTGTTTTGGAAGAGACTGTGGACCTGTTGCCTTGACAGATTACAGATGAATGGATCTAAAATCCAATATATTCAGGTCCATTATAATGAGGGTATACCATATGCTTGAGCTGATCTAGTGAACACTTCACAGAACTTTTTCTGAGTAGCTAATTCAGTTACATCCTGTTCTGCTTGGTTTTGTTGACTCACAAATAGTGCAGCCATCTCTTCTGCATCTGTATTTATGACGTTCAGTGAAACTCGTTCTGCCCATACTCTGAGGCCTAAGTCCCATGGAGATGCTCATGTTAATATGGACCAAGAGGAGAGGGTGCAGGGCGCGGTAGTACTGTGGGGATAGCCCCTAATGTGTATGACTTCATACTGGAGAGTGCAGTGTAACTGTTATGAGATTATTTGCTCTACACAAAGGTAGGGAGCAAACTGATGTGCTCCCCTCCGCTTCTTGCCTGACCAGCTGGGCTCTTCTCTCTGTGTGACTCAGCCTGAAAGTAAGAAATGCTGCTTCTTCTCTTAGTGGGGGGTGGAGTCCAACTGGGTCCACTTGGCACAGCGGCCACTGATTGGCCTATTGTAGCCTGCCCCAGGTGATTATGATAATGGAGAATTTGGTGGAATGAAGATTGGCAGGCGTAACTGAAGTACTCGGAGAAAACCCGCCCCAGCACCACTTTGTCCACCACAAATCCCACTTGACCAGACCTGGGATTAAACCTGGACCACCATGGTGGGAAGCCAGCGACTAACCGCTTGAGCTATGGTGCGGCCAATGCTGCTTCTTATTCTGGAGGGTAATGAAATACCTGAGGCCAGTCTTGGCTATGTGATGAAAAATGTGACCACAGCACCTGACCTTCCATTGAGAAGAGACAAAAATGTTTTCAATGCAATAAGTTAACAGCTACCCTCTCTTGCTTGTATTAGGATGGTTTGGGGATGAAGGCTGTTACTTTCTCATTCATTCCAACATCATCCAAGTTTCCAGTTAAATAAGATATGAGAATGCTGTGTTAACTGGTTGTGCTCATTTGATTCACAAAAGAATGGAAGTATGACTAAGCTACATTGTCAGACGCATTTTTATGGAATCCAGAAATGAAAGAAAAGTGTTTATTACAGCAACAGTTATGGAAAGGTCCACTTTTTAAAACTTGAAAATACTGTAGCGTATTTGGCTGCTGAAGATGCCATTTGGATTGTTAATTGGGTTGTAACTACAATTAATTATAACACTGTTGCAGGTTTACATAATTCACAAACCCTACACACTAATCTATTCACCCTATCTTCAGTAGTCTTCACTTATTTACAGTATAACACATGAGCTATACAAGTGTTGCTAACTTACACACTCCCAATACATGGGAGCTATACAAGTGTCACTGAATTACACACTTGCAATACCCAATGCCTTTTCAGTTATCACAGAGTATCACTGATTATCACACATAAAATCTTCTAATCACGCATTCAGTTCTTCTTCTTCCAGCACTCCGAGAACTGACTAACATTGACTAACTGCTTGGACTGACTGACTGATTTCTGTTCTACCGAATACTGACTCTTTAGTTATTCCAGTTTCTCTTATAAACCCTCAGTTGGACAGGCAGAAAATGCGGCTTGCTTCACTGTTGCATGACCGTGTTTATAGAGGCGTTGCTTGGCAGCACTGCCGAGAATTCTTTACTGCTGCTACTGCACCCGAGCACGCTGCAGTAGCACTTCCTCATTGCCCAGTCATAACATGTGGTGCCTGAAATCCACAAATGCATCATGGGCATGCATGGTGTCAGTTCCCAGGTTGAACTCATCTGTGATATTGGCGATGAGCACCCAAGTCATTAGTGGGTACTGCCCCTGAGCCAGTTTTATGAAAGTTTTTTCAAGGTGGAGAGCATCTCCTGTTGCCATCTGCAGGATGCACCATGAGAGCAGGTTTCTCTTGGACAGTTCAGTGACGTCTGGCCTGGCGATGGTAACAGATGCTCATATGTTAATTGTCACAGACATGACTTGTCTCCTATTTGTCCCTGGTTATCATGGGTTCTTTTTTCACATGCTAATTGTGTAATGAGATGGAAATGAAGGCACCAGCTCCTCTTTTGTATATTCCACTCGCTTCATGGATCTTGGTTGACCTATTTCCAGGAAGTCCTTTTGGGGTATCCGTCTCAGGAGTCTGTCATAAGATGGATGATGCCCCCCCCCCCACACACACACACACACACACACACACGCTGCAAGTATGAGTAGCAGAGTCCTGCTGCACTTGGTCCCTGGTGACCAGGGTCCCTTGGGCTTGCTTGGTGTTCGATTTTCCCACTTTTTTTCAAGCCCACATGGCATCTGCCATCGTATTTGTCTGTTGTATCTTTATTGAGGTACATGATAGAAGTTTTGTGCCTGTTGAGCTCCTCATGGAGGATCTGTATCCTCCAATTGTATGCCTACTATCCATTTGCTGAAGGTTACTTCGAAGTTGACCTGGAAGAGCTCTAACAGTACTTATCACTGCTCTCATCTCCTATTAGCTGGCACTGATGGTGGCCATCTCTTTTTGATCATTTCTTGTGGCTGTAGTATTAGCCATCACTACTTGTTGACAAACCTCCAATTCCTATATGGCAGCTATTAGATATTCCATGATTAGCTTCAGTGTTGGTTCCCTTAGTGTCAATCCAGCCAATCCAACTCTTTGACACTAGTTGTCATGTGTTAGTGACTAGACATATGGTTTGGATTAATAATTGCACTTATTGAATGCTTATAACTTCTAACCACAAATGACTAACAGTCTGACTGAATACACACACTGTAGAAGACTACAGCTACAGAATACATGAAATCTCCAGTTTGTTTATTAGTCATTAATATATAGCAGCTGCTAACAATCCAACTGTAGACTGACTGGACTACTGCTAGCCCTTGCTGTATAGCCTTGGCAGGGACTGCACAGGAAACACTGTTCTTTTTCTTTATTATTATTGTTTTACTATCTGTTGCTGTAGAAACATGTTTACTGCCCCACTGCCTAGCAACAGCTGCCTCTTCTCCCACTATTCCAGCTTTCAGCAGTCATGCATCAAAATGGTACTCTTCTTTTGTTCTGCTTAGGTCAGGCTCAGCAAACTGCAGAATTGTCCAAAGAATTGCAAGTAGCAGCAACCACAAAAGAAGAGGATGTAAAATCAGGCAACCAAACAAGTACCCCTATATGTGGTACAAATGGGAGTACAGGTATGCTAATTATGTATCAGATTCATTGTTTTTAATAACTTAGGCAGATACTGGAACTTTTTTATCTTCACCAGAGTCAGTTGTGACATCCATTTTCAGACACCAAGGGAGTGACAGGGTTATGGTTCATCTCTATGGAACTCATATGAAATGTCAGGAAATATTGAGTGGTAACTCAGACATGAATCAGTGTTAAGAGGTGCATTAGTAACATACCATTAACATGTGTATATGTCACATATCTTGTTCTGTATTTCAGTCTCTAAGAAAGTGTGTGACCTATATGCAGGTCACTGTCACAGAACTATAAAACTTGTAACATCTGCCTACTTTACTTGATTTGATAGCCAGTTACTTTGTATGTCCTGCCTGTTGTTATAATCAAAGAACTAGGAACTGGCAAATCTGACAAAAAAGATGGTAACAAGCAATGCCAAGAAAACAAGAGAGAAACTTTGCATGAATGCAAGGGGCACCAGTAAAGGAGGAAGCCACTGCCTGCAGTTACTGTTAACCAACTTTGCATGTGTAATCACCGGAACTGTCCCAGTGGAAGAAATAACATAGATGAAACAGAAAACATGGTCGAAGTAAAACACAGTGGGTATGTATTAAAAGAAAAGTTAAATACAATGAATGAGGCATGTAACATAAGCAGTAAACTCCCGCATTCACAGTTGTAATGCAGGGTTTCTTTGCATACATGGCCAACAAAGTACAGTAAGAAAATACAAGCAACAAGAATAACAAAATGTAGGCCAGAATGCTTTATATAATTCTATAAGAGGAGAGAGGTGGGGCGATCAATGGAAACAACCTAAGGAAAGCCTCAGAGATGAGTGCAGCAGATTTGGCCAAAATCCAGATTTTAAAATCAGTTGCCAAACAGGATTTGGACAGCACCCGCTAGACCTGAGAAAGCCTACTTTGACCAGCTGACTGCCCAGTGTTGCTGCACTGTTAAACCAAGGCAGAAATATCAAGAGCTGCTCGATGCAGTTGTACGTTTAAGACCAGTGGGCAAATGGAGGAAAAAGAGGGAACTCTTCTAATTAGTAGCATTAAAGTCTATGGGAAAGTGAGGTACCAGTACCTTTGTCAGTGACAGAACTCATTTGCTTGCAGAATGATTTATTAACAATATTTTAAGCCCCTATAATGATTTTTCAGCACATATATTAAAGTATGGTGCTACCATATACAAGTAATTAAGGCTAAATAATTCAGTTCCACAAGTGTGTCTTTAGTCTGCATGATTGCGACAACAAAGTGGTCGTTTTTTCTCTTGCACCTTGTTGACAGTTCTGTCTTGTCTTTATAAATTGAAATAAAGCATTTAACTGACACCCACTGAAATTGTGTACATGTGAAATAAAATATGGAAAATGTGAAATGTTATTTATAGTACTGGAATTTTATACCATTAAAAAAATAGAGTCTCACCAGAAATTTATAAATTTGCTGCAGTATGAAATATCCTGAAGCAGCTTTCAAAATGGAAGCCCACTGTGCAGTGCAGACACCAGCACAGAACTTCAGTTCTCTCTCCGAGGCCTAGAATGCACTGCAATGTGGCTTTCCTTTTTCTCCCACCTGGGTGCATCTTGTGATGAAAGGAAAAGCTAGGAGAATAGATTTTTGCCACATTATCTACACTGAACAGTGGAATTCCAAATGATTAGTAATATAAATATTTTTATGTGAGACCTTGCTTTGTAGTCTGTAAACAGAAAGAGATATACAGACTTGTTCTGGTGTCTTCGCCCTTACCCTTTTCACAGCTTCCATTCAAAACCCATATTGGGCAATGCTCCTGTTCTAACATCTTTTAGTCTGGGACCGAATCAGTTCAGTGCAGTTGAAATTGCAGTGTTATGGTACTTGTAAAACTATCTGCCCGTGTTCTTTAAAAAATTGATCAATTTTAAACTCAAAAAAGAATACATTTAACATATTGTCATGCATTAGTGACTAGACATTGGATTTGGATTGATAATTGGATTTATTGAACACTCCTGAATTGTAACTGCAGTCAACTCTCGATTATCCGGGATAATGGTGGGCATGGAAATCACACTTAATCGAAAACCCGGTTAAGACAAATGTTATTAAAAGTAGTACTGTAATGCTGTACCTTCATAATACTATAGGCCTACCTGTATTTAAATTTACTCAACCTCATTTTTATGTCATCTCATGGCCTATTTAATACTTTTTTACATTATACTGAAGTGTGAATTAGTTATTTCAATCACAGTGTTCAACAACATCCAACACTTTTTACGAATATTCACACTCAATGCTTAAAAAAATTAATATTGTCGTTTGCTTTTTCGTGGCATTTTCCTTTTTACGTATATCCGTACGAAGCCTACGTAATATTAGCTTGTCACTTAATAAACTGTTCTCTTCACTCTCAAGATAGTCTAGTAAGGATTCCAAATGATTAAGAGCAGCATCATGTGATATTTTCTTACTAGCAGCACTGTCCACCTCTTCCTCATTCTCACTTTCTTTCCGCTCTTCTGGCTGCACCCCCACTGAACTTAGGGCCCCCATACACATACAGATTGGCCTCCAGTTCGGCCAAAACTGAAAGGCAAAACTGACGTGTGTGGTGCGGCTGGCCGGCCAATCATTTGGACTGTTGGCCTGTGGGAAACCCGTCAGTCCGTCAGTTCTATCTGCAGGACCATAGCACGTGACGTGTGTGACTCAGCATTATAGGCTGGAAGACCGTGATTGTGACATGAAGCCTGCCGCTTTATCTGCGCGTGTATGGGGAGGAAAGGGAGGGGGTAAACTGTCACAGTTTTGCCTGTAGGGTCGATCGGAAGGCCAAACTGTGTGTGTAAGTGTGTAAGTCTCATTACCCTGAGTTCCCCAGTGATCTGGCATGCATACCGCTATATGGCAGGAAAGTAGGCTTTATGATTTCTACAATTATTGCGTTTCTGGACATTATCCATCATCCTGTTTTTATTTTAAACACAGTGTTTTGGAGACTGGATTCTGTCTCCTCCTTCATGTAGAACCTGTTCAGTTTGGCCCCATTGTTACAGCTAGTTCCTATCTCTGGACACTGGCACAGCATAAACCATCTTTGAGAGTTAAGACAAGCATTAAAATCGTTAAAAAACTTGACAAACATGATGTGTAGTACCTATGTCCATGCACTGTTTTATGACTGTTGTTAAAATCAGAGTACTATCAGAATATAAGTTATCAGTAAAGAGACAAGTTCTCTCTAAAGTGCCAAGATAGAAACACAATTTCAACACATAATCTACATTGAATGGAGTTGTAGTTTTCTGACTTCTGCTGCAGTAATGGGAGTCCAGATGGGAATAAAAACAGGATGCTGGATAGTGTCCAGAAACACAGTAATTACATTAATATACCATCATCAAAAATTTTCATATCTTATATATGATTTCTGCTCAGAACTGTTTATGTAGTAGATACATCACCATGCTTCCCTTTGAAATCAGCAGGAATGAAGAAACGAATTTGGAAATTTGGGGGCAGTAGCAGTGAGAATTACCGTCCTAAGAAACGTCGGAATTGGGCAAGAGGTTTCATCAAAGCGAAGAGCAAGAAGATGTCTATGCGTAGAATTGTGTCATCATCATTCCCGCCCCATGCTTCTAACCATACTGCCTCTCCATCTTCAGCCAATGTCTCAGCAGTAAGTTCATTTGAAGCATTAAATTATGAAATTGCTTAAGACGTTATTGTTCTGTGTATGTGAGATCTGAAAAACTGCACAGCATCACATCACAAAAGAGAGAGCAGTTTTAACTTCTGGTGTGTGTGTAGATTTTTTAATTCTTTTCAAGCAATGTGCATGAAACAAACCTCTGTAGTAAGGAGTTCGTATCTGTCAGTATGTTTCATACAGAAACTACTTTCTTGGCAAAATTTTCATTTTGTTGCATACTGACAAATTAAAACCCTTGTGTTACTTAATTCCTGAATAGAACTTACCCTATGAAATTTTAGCTTCTTGTGGTTATGAACAGTAAAACTGGTCTTTGGTATATGATGGTGTATAGTTTAATAGAGCAGTGTTTCGCAGCCTTTTTGGTACAGCAGGCCTTTTGCAAAGAATCAGTCCAAGTCAAAGGCCCTTCGTACATTCTGTAACAAACTTATTTTTTGTGGTGGAGACTTGTTAGCCTCACACCAAACCCCAAAGCTGGAGGACCACCCACTGTTGGCTGTCTGTGACTGCTAATCCAGTATATTCACAGCTACCCTCCGTATCTGGAAGTCATCTCCATCTGTAAGGGAACCACTTACCATAAAGAAAAAAACAAATTCTAGTTGATGGTGATAAGAAGGTTGCTCTAGAAGTTGACTGAGTATATGTTGATGTCTCATCACCAAAATGCAGGCCAAAATCATAACATAAAGATAGAAAATAGATGCTGTAGAAGTGTGGCACAATTCAGATATTTTTGAATGACAGTAACAAAGTAAAATTTGATTCAGGAAGAAATTAAGAGGAGATTGAATTCAGATAATGCCTGCTGTCATTCAGTCCAGAAACTTTTGTCTTCCTGTTTGCTGTTTAAAAATGGAAAAATTAGAATATACAGAACTCTGATATTGCATGTTGTTTTATATGGGTGTGAACTGTGGTCTCTGATTTTCACAGCGTGCATCCTGTTGTGTGTCACAAATATATGGCAAGGTAAGGCTTCCGTCAACACCACAAATGTTTTACAGCCAGTCAATACTCGGATTGAATTTTGTTTTCTACCACATGTTTCAGTCTTCATGGGACCGTCATCAGGCAGTATTATGATCGTGGGACTAAAGTTATTGATTTCCTAAATACTGATCCATATTCAATAACTTTGGCTGTACGACCATGGTCCCCTGAGGACTGAAACATCTAGCGGTAGAACATGAAATTCAGTCTGAGTAACAGGATACTGTCCAAGCACCACATCAGGGCTGTGGGCTTCTCACTGAGGAAAATATCCAGTTTTCTTTTGCCTGTGATGGACAACCTGACATTAAAGATGTTAGGGATATAGAGCATCCCCTTTGAGTGTAGGACATTTATACATTTGACAGGTTGACCATTCCACTGAGACGGTGGTCAAAGAGTACCCTCATTATATCCGTCTTTATTATTTGAACAAGTGTACTGTAGTAGAATGAAGCATAAACCTGAGTCATTGCATCCTGCTACAGGACATCAGTATCCTGGCCAAGTAATTGAGATGCTTGAACTGTATCATCAGAAGTGTTAGAGATTGAACTGCATCCAGACATGAACAGTGCTGGTGATTTATCCCTGAGCAAGTTGCCACATCGATGCCCTGAAGGATTGTGAGAAGACTTTTCTTTTTGAAGGATATACCTCGAGTTGGCTCTCTTCTTTGTGTGACATACTGTCCCCATTGTCCCTTCTGGTTTCTTTACTCCTTTTGCTATTCATGGTCCAAGTAGGAAACTCCTGCTCTCTGAGACAGAAGTAGGAGTGTTGATCAGAAAACACTCCCATACATGTGGAGAAGTGAGATGTGTTTTATAGCCCCCCACCCCCACCCCGTACAGTGTGTTTACATTCCCATTTAATTTGCTGTAGCTATGAAGTTTAATGCCGGTCACGGTAGCCGAGCGGTCTAAGGAAAGCACTGTCTTCGCACGCTCGGAAGCCGGGATCGTGGGTTTGAATCCCACTCAGGGCATGGATGTTTGTGTGCGTTTTTCTGTGTTTGTGTACAGGTAGAGGCCTTGTGACGAGCTGATCACCCACCTAAGGAGTCCTACCATGTGTCTAAGATCTATAAAAACCGAAGTGAACGGTGAAGTTCATGGAGGTAGGCCTAGGCCCACTGGGGCTGTAGTGCCAAGGAAAAAAAAAATTAAGTTTAATACTACTATGCTTAAAGATGAGACCAGTAAAATGAAATCACTCCGAGAATAATATTAAGCTGCAATTAACAGTAGTGGTGAATGATATTGAAGTACTGCAGTGAAGTGCATTGTTTGTTTAAATGTTTATTATATATATGTATATATGTAAAGGGTATCAAATATTATGCCATTGCTGGTTTTCTGCTGCAGGATAGCAGTAAAACTTAATGGTTCTGATGGAGGAACTAGAATAACGAATCAAGTACTCTATACACTACATACAGTGTACCATAAGTAAGATAGAAGGCGTTTGCAAATTCAGTGACCTTTTTCCCATGTTCTTGCTATTGCCAAATTGAGTGCTTTTTCTTACTTTGTGGTGTGCTATGTGGAAGTAAATATGGTGCTGCACACAGCATAAGACAGGTTTTATAGAAGTATTTTTGATAACTAATACTAAATTGTACTATCTCTATGTTATTAGAGCCATTAAATTCTGGACTAAGGAAAGCTTCATGTGGCCAGAACTAAAATTGAGAGAATAATTAAACTTTTGAAACCTCATGTGGGAATAAATAATGGATTAAGAAATCATAATCGTTTGATATTTCACTGTTTTCAGGAGTCAAGTTGTGCATCGCTAATGCAAGATATAAGCATGCAGGGACATAAAGAAGATGGAACTCCTTGGAGAATAGATGATGCATTTCAAACTGCCAGCAAGGAATTCAACAGTAGTGCTAACATCATCTCAAAGAACTGCTTGATTATGGTTAATGGTGAAAATCCGACTAATAGAGAAAGTCCTGCTTTGTTTGGAGATGTTGCTGTAACAAAGACTGAGTCTTCAAATGAAGACAACCAAGGTGTGGACTTTGTGTCAGTAATCTGCATGGAGTGGGGTTCTACTAATTGTATGTTGGGCTTACATGATGTAGATGTAGCACATGCTGTCATACTGTAGACTTTGATGCATTGCTTTTTTTCTTTATTTGTAATACCATTTTCCTGTGTTCATACAGTATAGATGATTATAAATTAGTCTGAAAGATGACAGATTGGAATGAATGGAAGAGTATAGTGACTCTTCTGCTGTGAAGATGTAGACAGCAGGTCCCTCTAAAATGCTGATAACTTTATACCATACTACACAACAGTACATTATAGATGACCATAATCATCACATAGTAAAACAAAGATCATTGAAGGAAAGGAGCCCATCCTATTTCATGTGGCTATCATACACACTGTTATATCAGTAAGACTATAAATTTAATGTTACTGTAGCATGTGGGCTCATTACTGGGTAACAACAGCTAAGCAAACAGTGAAACAGTAATTGCTGCTAGGCAGCAGAATCACAACGAGAAACAGTTTGACTATAACCATGAGGAATGGTGTTTTCTGAGTGGTCCATGTTTAGATGTTATAAGAAGGACAGTTTTGAGCAATAGTGAATTTGTATGATATTCACTGGACAGTAACGACACTGAAAGACTCTCCATTGGTAAGATCCGTTACCCGGATGTGACTAGTGAAAGCAGATTGAGAAGGTTCAGTGTCTGCTGTAGTGATTTGTAAAGTGTGGAAATTAATGACAGCATTATAATTACTTGTAGTTATGGTCTTTAGGTGGTCAATAAATACAATCACCAATCCGGACCTCATCTGTAATCACTCATACATGTGACAGCTTGTGTCAGAAGTGGGTGGATTGGAATCACACTCAGACACTTGATATGGATAGGGTCTCTGGTCTCCCAGATGGATATCCACAAAGCTAGACAATGTCCACTCGAGAAAGAATGAAAGCCAAGATGCACATGAATGAAGAGAATATGGAGGCCGCAGTACACTCCATCCAGTTCGAGTTAGAGGAGGTCATCAAAAACTGGGTGGATATGTCCTGTTTTGTGTTGGCCAAAAGATACAGGGCCTCCACAAGGAACTGACAGAGAAGACTGATTAACACAGGTGGCCTTACAGGCAGTAGAGGCATCCAGCGATACATGGACCAGGAGTCTCAGGGGTTATATAATGGACACAAAGGATTTTTATGAGGTCACAGCAAATACAAGGAACATTCTCCATGAAGAGCTTGATCTCATGTTCCAGGTTGAGGCACAGGCAATAAAGGCCAAGATAAGGATCAATCAAGAATGAATGGAAGCCAGGATTGAGGCCAGGCCAGGAGGGATGGCCATCCATTGGGAAACAAGCGGGTGCTGGTGGGAAAGGCCAGATGGTGGCGTATACATTAACCCCCCCCCCCTTCATCATGTGCTGAGTGTCATTAATGAAGCCTAGTCTTTCAGGGCTGGGTTGATGACAAACCATGTCTTGTGATCATCGCACTGGAGCATACATGACTGTTGCCAGGCCCGACATTGGCTGCTGGATGGCCTGCAAAAGAGCCAAACCAACATGCTGCAGACGGTATCTGTGGAAGCCCTCTCCATTTTGAAGGAAGTTTTCCCAACACTGACCCTGGTGTGGTGTCCACTGAAGATTTGGGTAATTGTCACCAATATCACAGACAAGTTCATCTTGGGGCTGGGCATCTTGTGCACATATGATACATCTGTGGACCTAGGGCACCAAATGCTGCATCTTGCAGAGGAAGAAATATCACTATGGAGCCCCAGGGTAGGACCTTGGCCTTGCATCCTGGTAGTGGCTAGTTATCAGGTGAAACCCAAGGTGAGGGAGTAGTAATGGTTCGATTGGAGAGCCCCCTCAGAGTGGAAAATTGCCAGGTGGAACAGAGTCTAAGTGCCCAGTTGCCAGAAGGAATCTACATAGTCAAGACCATGGTCTGAGACCACCGGAAGGTACCTGTGATGGTCCTGAATGCTGGTGACCCTACCCGGCGTGGAACAACCACAGGTCCGAGTTAACTACCCTGAAGTTACAGGACGTGATTGCAGCAACCATGGCAAACCTGAGTGATGCTAAATTCCAAGAGGTGGAAGAGCTCACTGAGTACAGTGACATCTTTGCTATGAAGAGCAATGACTGGCAGAGTGTACCACCATACAGATATAAGGGAGGCCCAACCAATCCACCAAACCCCAAGGAGAGTCCCCCTAGCAAAACAGACAGATGTGGGTGAGGTTCTCAAGGACATGCAACAGTGTGGATTTATTGAAGAGTCAGACAGCCCCCGGCTATTTCCTGTTCTTGTCTGAAAGAAAAACAGGACCTGCACTTCTGCATAGACTACAGGAAACTAAATGATGTCACAAGGAAGGGCTGTTTCCCACTGCCCCAGATTGAGGACACTCTGGACACACTAGCTGGAGCCAAATGGGTCTCCTCCATCAACCTGAAGAGTGATTATTGGCAATTTGATCTACATTGGGATGACAAGGAGAAGACTGAATTCTCAATAGGCCAAGGGCTATGGCCCCTGCAACACTCCAGTAACATTTGAGAGGTTACTGGAGACCATCTTGAAAGGCCTCGATTATGAGTAATGTCTTGTGTACCAGGGTGACGTGAATGTGATTGGCCGCACATTCCAAGAGTAACCTGCTCAACCTGTAGAAAGTGTTGCAGGGGTTCTGAGAAGCCTGCCTAAAGCTCAGTCCTGGAAGTGCCAAATCTTTCAGAAGGAAGCAGCATCTTGGGCATATTGTATCACCTGAGGGGATGACCACCGACCCCAAGAAGGCAAAAGCTGTGTGGGAGTGGCTGACCCCAAAGAATAAGCATGATATTAGGAGCTTCCTAGGCCTGTGCACTTATTACAGATGTTTTACTTCCTGTTTCGCCAACATTGTGAAACCACTGACCAAACTCACAGAAGAGAAGCAAGCCTTCCAGTGGACTCCAAAAGTGGAGGCCACCTTCCAAACACCAAAAGAGGCTGTCTTTACTGTTCCTATTCTTCCTTAGCTGCAGCCAAGAGAACTGTTCATTGACACAGATATGAGTAATAGACTACTATAGAAAGATGATCAATAAGACCAAGAGAAATTACTGTCACCTGACGGGAACTACTTGCAATTGTGAGGACACTGGAACATTTCCATAATTGCCTCTACAGACAAGAGTTCCACCTGCGCACCAACCATTCTGCACTAACTTGGCTCATGAGTTTTAACTCTTTGACTGGCGCGAAGGGTATTTAAATGCCACCCCTGTCCTGGCAGACCCTTTAAGCTTTAAGTCGCTAAAATGCATGCCTTTACTTTATTTAAATAACTTCAACAAAACTTGGTTTTTAAAAACGAAATTTTTGGGAACTAATAAAAAGTCTTTTCATACCTTTTTAATAGTTTTTTTTTTGTGTGATAAACATTGAAACATGAAAGTTTGCAGAAGGCCACACCACAGCTTGCACACATGACACTTGTTTCTTTTATAATCTTGTGCTTAGTGCACACGCGACACTTTCTCATGGCACCATTCTTCTTCTTGTTACTGGGAGGAACATGGGCCATTTTGTATATTTTTAGGCCACCCTCTAGACGACTTGCTGGGTCCTTCACTGGTGGTCTTTTCAAGGTCGCAGGCAGAGGCGTGAGTGCACTCGAGTCTGAAGCAATAGATTCGTCATCCACTTCATTCCTTGACTCTTCTCCCTCTCCATACTGTTTGTTTGGTTCTGTCATTTTTTCTACACAGTCCAATATAAAATCTTTGAATTTGTATTTTCTCTTGTATTTTTCATTTGTTGTGTTCTATCTGTGTTGTGTTGTGTTTCTATCTGCCTAACATCACTGGCCCTATGTACATTCAATAACTGAGAGAAGTATTCTTCCACCTATTCAAAATGTAGTAGAAATGTTTAAGCAGATCACCATTCCCATCATTCACTAAGTTACATCTAGGTTGGTAACCCCTCTTAAAGTCATTTATATCTGTATGCAGGTCTCTACTGTTCTTGTTCATACTGTTCACTGCATGCTCATCAATTTTATCTTTTAGATATTCCCTTTTTTTATTCCTAAAATGCCAGCTGGTTTCACGTCTTATATTGTTCAGATTATCCCCATTTATTTCTCTTGGATCCTGTAACCTTTGCAGGCTGGTTTGTTTTCTTTGGTCTAGTAATTTTGAGTATCCTTCATTGAACCATGGCTTATGTTTCTTCAGTTCATAATAACCTAGACTCTCCTTGGCAGAAATTTTTATATTTTCTCTAATAGTTTGCCAAGCTTTATTAACATCCACCTCATTGTCCAAGTTTTCCAAGGCTGCAAGCCTATTTGAGATTTCAACACGGTACTGCTCTTTACCCTCTACCTCATTTAATTAGGTGGGTCCATTGTCACCATGGTATGGCACATCCTCAGGTTGTGGATGGAGGAGATGCCCTCCAGGTATGCAGGGAAGCTGCAAATATATTGAATAAACAGTCATGGACAGCCGAGAAGGGGTGGTCCTCAAGTTTGGGGGTTTGGCATGGGGCTAATGACTCCTCACTGTAAAAAATAAACTTGTAATGAAAATGTACAGAAAGCTTTGGACATGGACAGATCCTCTGGATAAATGACTTATCCTAAAGAAAATGGACATGAGATTCGGTACTTGGAACGCCAGAAGTATGTATAGTGCAGGTTCGCTCAGGGCAGTGGCGGATGAATGGAGTATATGTGTGATTATAAAAAGTAAACTAATGTAAGAACACAAAAGACAAAATATAACAAATAATATAAAATAATACATCCTTTATAAATTGCAGATAACACTGATGATAACCCTAAATCAACATCCTTAATGAACTGTGCAAATATTGTCTACAAGTATATATATAAACAGCTGTCAATGCTGTCACAATTTTGGGGTGAGACTATTAGATGAAGCATGGATTGGGTGATGGGATTTATTGACACCTTATACACACCACTCAGAACTGCAAGTGACTGAAGCGGTATCACTATTTCCACACTTTACAGTTCACTGTTACACAGATTAGTGTCCTCAGTCTATTACACTCTCCTCTAGTTGTTTCCTGGCAATGGATTCATAACAGTCTCACTGCAACTTCAAATCATATGTTAAATCTTCTTTTCATAGCCTAATTCCTTTCTTGCCATTATTCTGCCAACTTGCCAACTCCAAAGACTTGACTCAATTCTCTGCTCCAACTGCTAGCTCAGGAACACGGACTCAGATCTATGGTGCATAAGATCTTTGTTATATAGCCTCAGGCCGGACCCACAAAAAACACCAGTTACTTTATTTTTGGATATTGATTCACTGCTGCAGAGATGTGTTTACTGCACAGTTGCATAGCAACGAATGTGGTATGGGTCCACAGAGAATGCTGCATGGAAAACATCCTCTCTTGTTGTGTGATGTCACAACATACATGATGTGTTCCTCTGCTATGCGTGCATGGTTCATTACCTAGGAATGGCTGTTTCTCTGCCTCCACAGTTCATGTTTTGAGCAAATATGCCACAATACTTATAAATCTACAGTAAATTATGTAACACAACACATTATTTACACATTACTGATAATACCTACGACGCAAAGGGAATGCAGTGTGAATAACTCTGACGAGAAATACTCTCAAGCAAAGATACTTTATGGATGACAACCACAATGAAAAACATTAAGTTGTTAATTAATTTTAATTGAAGCTTGGTTTATTTTAAATTAGGAAATATCACGTTCACATGCGATATATCAATTTCGACATACAGTGCAAGAGTGCCTTCTGTGTGGGTAAATATGGTAATTATCACTTCTGACATCAGATGCCAACATGCATAATAAATACAGCCATTAGAAGAATTTTGAAGTTTAAGATTGCAAAATAATCTTTATATCTAGATCAAGATTTCTTTCTAGTTTAATCTCTAGTACATTACAAAGGTTGCATCCAAAAATAACATTTCATTGGTAGCAAGTTGGTTATGAAATGGATCGATTAAGTATTGCTGTATTACATGCTTATAATATTATCAGACTGTTATAGAATTCCCAAAATGCATATTGTTTCAGATGTTTCACAAACTCTGAATCGAAGTTTGACACCAGTGTCTTCCCACTGCCAAAGTATCTCAGAGTCTTTTATTGAAGACACCCTCAATGAAAATGATCCTGCTGATGATTTAATGAGCTTTTGTGATGGTGCTAGTCAAGATGATGCTGGTGAAGTTGTCAGCAAGCAGTGTATTAATGTTCTTGATAGTCAAGATGTAGAAAAACAGACTGGTAAGTCAGAGTTAAGCTATGTATATTTTTCTTAAATTGAATCATCTTTCATCTGCTGTGATTCTCCAAATACTCGTACTAGTGTTATGACATCATGTTGTAATGTGTTTTGGAACACTTATTTATAGTCTGTCTTTAATCACGATTCAGAGGAACATATCTCCTCCATCCTCAGAGTCGAAAAATCCGCGAGTGAGGAGGCGATACGTTCCTCCGAAATGTCGGTTCACGCAAGATCTACATGAAAACCTCAAATCTTTACTCACTCATGGAGCTCAACCATTCATGAGAAGCCACCAATTGTGCAGCTACTCAAGAATTTCCCAGAATTTTATAGAACCCGAAGGTTCATCACAATGTTCACTAGAGCCCTCTACTTGTCCCTATCCTGAGCCAGATCAATCCAATCCATACCATCCCATCTTATCTCTCTAAGATCCATTTTAATATTGTCCACCCGCCTACGTCTTGGTCTTCCTAGTGGTCTCTTTCCTTCTGGCTTTCCCACCAATATTCTATATGCATTCCTCTTCTCCCCATTCGTGATACATGCCCTGTCCACCTCATATACTCCTTGATTTGATCATTCTAATAATTGTGTAATTTTTCAGAATTAGTTACGCGAACAGTAGAAATCAGTGTTGATGAGCTAAAGCACCTGTTGGCTAGAGCTGTGGAGATAACAAAGCATTGTCAAGTGGAAACATTAGTTGAACTGTACATCCAGCTCAACAAATGTGTGGTCAGGCATAGTAAGTCATGGAATAGAACATCCCTACCTCAGGTAAGATGGTGCAGAATTATATTAAATATTATTTTATACATATAATTTATGTACGGTGTCAATGAAATAATTTTGACAGTGTTATCAAAATTGTATATTGCTGTGTATGCGTGGGTGTGGTGGGGCAGCAGTATAGCCGTGCCATAGTTTGATCCTGCTTTCATCGTGCCCTGTGTAGGCACCCTTGTGGGTGAGAAGTTCTGTGGGTTCAACAGGGTATCCCATATTATGCTTCTAGGGACCATCATTCATAGGTTTGGTTGAACCATTGCCAATACACAGGAAATCTTTATCATAATTATATCTTGAAATAACATTTTGTTGCATTACAATGACGAAACGCATTTGTAAAAGTTAACACGGAAGCAAGAGCTGTATGTGTGTCATTTGTGTTAATTTCTTGGAAAATAAACACGCTGTGTTTCCTTGTCATTTTGGCAACAGCTGTCTTCTGTGCATAGGATTTCTACCAGATAAAAAGCAGCCCTTTCTCCTATTACAGTGATAAAAAATAGCTTGACTTTTGATGTAAATTTATCTGTTGTATTATTGCTTAACAGGGAATTTGTATTTATTTGTTATTTCAGGCCAAGAATGATGGGGCTGTATCTCTTCTTCCCCATGTGCCTTCATGGTATCTTAATTAATTAAGCACAGGGACAAATTTATGTTTGCCTTTGCCTTTGATTTTATCTTTACTTTTACCTTGAAGTTTTAGGCAAGGAGTTTTAAGTCGGTTCTAAAGGGTTCTGACGATGGTGTATAAAATTCAGAGTTACTGGGTTTTTGGACTTTTCCCATCATCAAGTGTTCTAGAAACTAGAAAACACAACATTTTGGAAACTGGATCTGTTTCCGTTCTCAGATGAGGGTGGGGACTGAGGTTAGCACTTTCTAGGGAGTGCCAACTGAGAGTTGTCTTTCCCCCCCCCTCACCTTAGGACAGAAACAGGTCCAGTTTCTGAAATGTTGTGTTTTCTAGTTTCTAGAATACCAGACGATGGAGAAAGTCCAAAAACATAGTAATTATGAAGGAATTTTAAGTTTTGTTATTTTTGCTGCACTGTACATACATGCATACACCACATTGCATTCTCCTTAAGGCTATTCATCTTGAGTAGCCTACGGATGTACTGCCATTTCTTCTTGTTCAAGCACTGCTTGTGACATCTGTTCTTGGTCTCACCTTCCTTTCGTGGTGTTCACTCTCCAAACGCTTCCACTGGTCCCTCCTTAAGGCCCGAACACTTCCCTCATAGAGTGCCAGTCAGTCCAGATTTAACACCATCATCTTCCTGCGGTTGGTGAGGCCTAAAGTTCTGCGAGTGTCAGTGCTTCTACGTTTATGGCTCCTACTCTCTGCCGTCTCTCCTTTCATTTCAGAAGGGCTGAAGCGGTCAACATTTTCTACAGTCTAATGGGAAGCCACTTTGCTTTGCAGGCCTCCAGCTCTACAGTCTTCCTGAAGATCCTGCCAAATTTTGTCCTGCTTCCCAGACATGGCTCCTATCTCCTGCTCCATCCTCTAATGTTCGACATGACCACATAGAAAACACTCTAGTTTCCATTGTTGTAGTCCAGCTGGTGCAGCTCCATGGCAACAGGTTGCATAACATGGTTTCCAACAGTGACTCTATTGTTCTAGAGGCATGTTTATCGCGCTGTTGCATAGCAATGGCTTCTTGTCTCATTGTTTGTTTTTAGATCTTAGCCATGCAGCAGGTCTATATGCCACAGTGTAATACTGGTGCTGATTCTGCTCTTGAGTCTTTACACCATGTGTTTGGGGAGTGTTGCCTATGTTTTGAAGGTGCATGCTGGTGACACTGCCCACATCCACAAGGTGCAAAAATCCAAGACCAGAGTAAACAGCAACAATGAATTGCTGTAAAACCTTGAGACCAGTAACATAAAAAATATATCTAGAGCAATCAGAATGGTCATCATGTAAGATGAGATTAAGGCCGCGCCATAGCTCAAGCGGTTAGTCGCTGGCTTCCCACCACGGTGGCCCAGGTTCGATTCCGGGTCTGGTCAAGTGGGATTTGTGGTGCACAAAGTGGTGCTGGGCCAGGATTTCTCCCAGCACTTCAGTTTCCCCTGCTACTCTTCATTCCACCAAATTCTCCATCATCATAATCACCCAGGGCAAGCTACAATAGGCCAATCAGTGGCTGCCATGCCAAATGGGCCCAGTTGGACTCCACCCCCCACTAAGCAAATTTAAAAATAATAATTAAATAAGATGAGATTTAGTTTGCATGTACTATTCAAATTTATACTTTTTTTTTTACTCAACAGTGGAAGAGTTAACTTGTTGCTGCCATCAGAATGCAACAAGGGAGCATGGTCAGTCTCTCTTTACTTCTTCTTCTTCTTCTTCTTTTTTTTGCTTCCTTATTATGGTTCCACCTTTATGCTGAAGGTTTTGTTCGAGATCAGGTTGTAAAACAGCCCTCTTTAATCTGCATTAAATGTATTACTTGGTTCATAATCATGTAGGAGATTAGGCTTCAATTGCTTCCAACGTTCAACATTTTCTTCATCCAAATTGCTACTTCTATCACACACAAACTTAGCCAAGTTATGCCATGGTACATGGTACAGTGGAACCTTGCTTAATGAGCATAATTCGTTCCAGAATCTTACTCGTAATGCGAAACACTCGTTAAGTGAAACAATTTTTTCCATATAAATTGATGTAAAATACGATAATGCGTTCCATGCCGAAAAAATACTAAAAAAATGTTATGTATAACGTTTATTCAAAGAAAATTATATATATCCTCCTCCTCTGACAAACTCTCCTCCACAGCTTCTTGCTGTGAAACACAATGCTACTCCAAATGGTGCAAATTGTTGATGTAGACCGATTGTATGTGTGTGCTAGATCAGCCATGCTCACACCTTGTTCTCGCTTTTCAATGATTTTATGTTTCATTTCTACCATTATTTTTATTCTCTTATGGCTGTCTTTTTGCAAGGGTTATTAAACTTTGCACAAAAAAAATCACAAATAATATGTCTGAACACAAGTTTGGAAAAATGTGTGATCACAAGCGACACTAAGATGCTAGCGGAACGAGTGCTAAACACAGGCTGATGTAGCAAGAGCACAATCCGGGACTTCCCCTCTCGTCACTCGTTATGCGATTCATTTGCTTACAATTTGTTTTGCTCGTTATGCGAATTACTCGTTACGAGAGGTGCTTGTTCAAGGTTCCACTGTACTTCTTAAGGCTGTCCAGCCATGTGAGGCTTTAAAATTTCCCACTTTCAGCCTCAGGGCGATTTTAATTGCTTTCTCCTATAACACAAAGCCATGTGTTGGAATTTTTTCAGACCTCATCTGCTGAAACCACTGCACTAATAACATTTTGAATTCTTCATTTGGTGAACATTTTAGTTTCTGAAAATACGCTACACACCGACTTCCCTCCACGAGAATTGAAGCATTCCATAGAATTGTTTTACTTGATGATGTAGATACCACAGAATGCTTCGCCATTTCATTTGATGACGCTAGGATTCTTTTGCACCGCCTGAACAATTTGTAACTTCCTCACTTATTGTTTACTTCTTTCTTTTCAGTGCCATACTGAAAGAATCAAAAGTTTTTTTTAATGTCAAATACAGATAAATCCTTAAATCAAGAAATTCTGAATCAAGGAAAATAGTATACTACGTATATGGAGCTTTGGATGCGACTACAGAAAATTTACTTTAAATGAAGGAAAATATAAAATCCAAGTCTCTTAAATGAGGGTTTCAGTGTATTGTCGTATGTATGGTGGTACACTTGAAGAAAATAATGGGCTCTAGTTTCAATGATTGGATTTATTAACTCTTCAGTTACAAGTTCTCTTAATTAACATTAATACAGCGCTATCACCGATTTATACAACTTCCAGTCCACCACTGCACATACACTAGGACTCTCAGTTTCCACTATTTGTCTCCTAGCAATGTATCTCAACACAGAAATTAGCACTTCAGATCACTATGAAGTCTTCTTGCTATTTCGGCTTCAGTCAGTTTGAAACTTTGGAACTAAAAATTCTTCTGGACTCACTCCTCCAGCTTATGACTGACTTGTAACTGCCTCTGAACTAATTCTGTCACTCCATCCACTTCTCTTATATGCACCAGCACAGTCCCCATGAAGCAAACCGCCACTGTTCTTGGTTACATCACTGCTTATGTGGAAGCCGTTGCTTAGAAACTGTTTGCATAACCCTGTTGTTCCACTGCTCTTCCGCATGGACGACATGGAAAACAGCCTCATCTATTGTTGCATGTTGGACCATGTTTACAGAGCTGCCTGGCAATGCGTTGATCCAATCCGTTACATTGCTGCCTCCTTGAGGCTTCTCGTCCCGAGTAGCCTATTGATGCACCGCCTGTTCTCCCCTTCTGATGTCGTTGCTTGGTTTCATCTCACCTTCTTTCCCATTCTATTTTTTTTTCTCCCAACATGTTCATTCTTCAACTGCTAGTCACTGCGTAAAAAGAATCCCCCTCCTTAAGGCTGCTTGTCCCAAGTAGCCTATTGGTGGACCGCCTGTTCTTCATTTCCAAGGTTTCTGCTTGGTTTCATCTCGCTTTCCTTCCTGTTGCACGTTCTTTTTCTCCCGCAGTGTTCATTGTCCAACCGCTACCACTCCTCCCTCCTTGAGGCCAGCTCGTCCTGAGTGGTTCACTTATAAGGTTCCAGTTAGTCCAGGTCATCGCCATCATCCAAAGGTTTTCCTGATTTTTCTCTTTTTTCCCAACAGTCGGGAAAAACTCTCCTGAGTGGCTGGTGCTCCCACCTTTCTGGCTCTTCTTACGCTAATGCTGCTAGTAGGTTCCTCTGCTTCGGAGGGGGTCGACCTCCCCCAAAGTCCAGTTCCTGATTTTCCGCAACCCACTGCAAATTCCTACTCCTCGCTTCATGATCTCCAGCCCAATTATCTTCCTGTAGCTCCCAGTGATTGTCCTCTCGCTTCCAAGCTGTAGCTGCACCTCAAAGTCTCGGTTCCTGGTTCCATTTGGCACCTAAGTTGTTTCCATCTGAGCGTGCGTCCTTTCCGGGTTCCTCTTGCAAATTTATTCCTGGTGTGATTCTTTCACTGTCCCTGTTCGACCGACGGTCCTTCATGACTGCGTCCCTGAAGCCCGCGTCTCTTGCGCTATCCCACTTTTGCATAGCAGGTCATCATCTTGCCTGCTGCAGCCAATTCCATCCTCGGTCCAAAATTTCACTGGGTCTGAATTTTCCTGTAGACATTTCTTTTGTGCTGTGCTACTGCTGCATGATGGATCCACACTCTCCTGGGATCAATTCCTTTGGCTCTCCATGTTGCCGTGGAGTTAGATGCCGGCCACTGTGCCATTTCTTCATTGTTCCCAAAGATTTCACTGCTGCCTCTTCCCTAGCGACCTACTGATGCTCTGCTACTGTCTTCATTTCCTGCAGGCCAGTCTCTATTATGGCCATCATCCTTTCATAATGGGTGTTCATGTCTGAGCTTATCCGTTCCATGATAGCATCAGGTCTTTCGAAATCCACTGTTATTATCCATCTCTATAATGTGGCGTTAGAAGTACATGATGCAGTCTTCAACCCAATAATTCGTTCCAATCTGATCCAATCCATACTATTTTTAACACAAGCTGTCACGTATTTTACGGTCATAACTGCTGATGAATCCAATACAATCAGGTACATGTGAAGAAAATAATGGGTTCAAGTTCAGGTGATAGGATTTATTAGCTCTTCATTTACAAGTTCTCTTAATTGCCATTAATACAGAGCTATCGCTGATTTACACACTTTCCAGCCCACCATTGCACACACACTAGGATTCTCTGTTTCCACTAGTCGTCTCCTAGCAATGCACAGACCCAACAGAAAACACTGTCTCTGTTCTTGGTGATGTTACTGATTACGTGGAAATGTGATTGCAGAGCTGTTGCTTATAAACGGGTTTCATAACCCCATTGTTCCACCCCTGCTCAGTGCGGACGACATAGAAAAAACAGCCTCATCCATTGTTGCATGTTAGACTGTGTTTACAGAGCTGTTGCCTGGCAACGCCTTGATCAAATCCATTACAGTCTTACGGATTTTTCTGAGAACTAATTGTTGGCACTTTTTATTACAGGAACTTGAAAATGAACTGAGACGGTTTGAGGAACACAATAATATCAACATCACTGCCAGTTAACTTGATTCATAGTTAGCACTCAAACTATGTCAAGTGCTCAAGATTGTGTCATGACCACTGCCAATTTACTCTCTTCAATTCGTCCAAGCTGTCAGTCTGTTGATTAGTCATTCAGTCAGGCAGTGGATGAAGTCTGGTACAGTATTAGCCTCAAGTGTAAATTAATCGGGGCCATTGAGGTTCATAGTTCGTAGGGTGATTTGCTATAATTGATTGGGAAAGTATGAACTATGAAGTAAGTTACCAGACTCTGTGCAATTCATGTTAATTCATTAGGTAAGGAGATATATTTGGTTATTTTGTGAGATGTGAGAGAACCGAGTTGGTTTCATTGATGCCATTAGATGGAAGGTATAGAGGTTACTAGGCCCATAAGGTCATGAGTGAAGCAGCCCCATTCTTCCCCCCATATTTCTGTTAGATTGTGCTGAAATTTCTTACATCAGAAGTTTCTAATCGAAAATCTATTCTCAGGAAATTATTACTTATAATATGTAAGACTGAATTTATGAAACTCTCAAAGAATTTATTGAATGAGAATGCAGCAAAATATTACAAAATTATTACCTTTATGTAATATGGATTTGCCATGTGTTATAATTTTTATTTATATAATTTTATATATTGGCAACGATTTATAATTTCCTTAGTGATGTTTTTTTTAAAGCATTGCCTTCAAACACAGTTAATTCAGAACAATTTAGAAGTAATAAGCAGATGGTGTTTATTAAATTCTGAAGGGATCTGATGGTCATATATAATACTCGGAATTACTGGGCTTTCAACTTCATCCATGGTCCAGTATTCTAGAAAATAGAGAACACAATCTTTCAGAAACTGGATTCGTTTCCGTCCTCAGGTGAAGGGGAGCAGACACCTACTCAATTGGGTCCCTTAGAAAGAGCTGGGACCCAACTGAGTAGGTGTCTTCCCCCCCTATCTGAGGACAGAAACAGATCCAGTTTCTGAAACGTATTTTCTCGTGTTTAGAATAACGTATGATGGACAAAGTCCAAAAACCCATTAATTCTGACATGATGTTTATACTGGAAAAATAAACTAGTTCATTAAAATAATAAAATATTCTGTTAATACAGGTATAACTGGTTATTTATAGCGATGGTAAGATGTATGGAAAAGATATATGAAAACATTTGCTGGCTAGAAATGAAGAATTGAGAAATGGGCTCAAATTGCATTACACACAAAATTGGTCATTTACTTTTGCATTTTATTGTATGAAATGTTTAATAAGCAGATCAGATGTCTTTATGAGGCAAGAAAAGGGCTTGCTTCTCTCTTTTTCATTGGTACATAATATATTATTTGCATCAATTTATGATCTCTTAATAGCATAGGTGTTTTTTTTTTCTCGTAGGACTTATAGAAAAGCTTATTTATTGATTCAGTTTTAATGCTATTATGTTTTATAAATAAATAGGTGTGTATATGTGTGTATTTGTGTATATACACATTTATTCCACAATTTAAGGAACGTATGGGCACTCTTCTTTGTGTTAAGTAAACAAAACTGAAATCAGCTCTAAAAGTGAAAAGAGATGACATTAGGCATGTGTGAGAATGCCTTTCGAGACAAGATTGAGACGAGTTTTGAAAAATCTTGAAAAATGAGATGAGAGAAGAATTTTCACTAGTATACTTAGTTTTTCATTGCAGTAATTTATAACACTAGCCACATTTCAGTGTACAAGTACTGCTATATGCACCACCTGCTCTCCTCCTGGTACCTTATACTTCTCACGCTGACGTCCAAGACAGGAGCGGTGCAACATCACGTGCTCTCATGTTATGTTCACACATGCTCCCTAGATAGAGTAGGGACTCCAAGTTAACAGCAAGGGAGACACTCCCAATTGACAAGACTCAGTTCTACAACAATAACATAATTTAATAGCAGAGAACGCAGTATAAACTAAGTACAACAATTACAACTTTACAGAAGCACGTAGGCCCAAACATACAACTTTAACCAAGTCTGTCCATTACATTTACAGCTTGCCTATCTGCGGCATCTGGCTAAACTTAATTGCCCACACTCGCTGCTCTAGTAACTCGGCTTACAATCATGCTATCTCAGCACGCACAAAATAAACCTTGACTATTATTAATTTTCCACAGGTGATTCCTCGAAGGGAAATACAACAATGCAAAATTAATCTAAGGCCCCGTCACTGCCACATAATAAACCTACTGGCCAGCAGATGCAACCAAACCCCTGACATGTGTTGCCACTGCACACACAGCCAGACATAATTTAGAATACCCTAGCCGAAACAGAATTTGACAATTACCCCAGCTGGCAGCGTATGTCTACTACACTGTGGATCCAAGCAGTGACTGTTTAAAATTCACTAGCTGGCCTCTTCCGAGCCTTTCGGGGGGTGGACGGGGAGAGGAAGTGGAATCCCTCGTGGTACACTCCACACACGGGGAGAAGGGGTAGGGTCTAAGTCATGGTACGAAGAACACGATTAACGTGGCTGGAAGGCATGACATCACAGGAGCTCACATATTTGCTTGGCTTGAAGATATTTCCAAATGTAAGATGACTTCACACTGTGAAAAATATGTTTAGAAAATGTAATTTTGAGAATGAGTTTCATACCCTTACTACAGATGTGTGAAAGAAGACAAATTTTGGAAAACAAGGTGTATTTGACATTTATTAAGTTTCTTTCTTGAAGTTACTAGCTTCATTCAGCTTCACCAGTCTCACTGTATTCACCATTCCTGCCATATGTCTCAGCTTTAGTGTCTTTAGAATATCCATCATCTCTCTCATATTCACTGCTCACACTATCTTGTTCTCTTCCCATGTTTCCGAGTTCTTGCCTTCCCTTCCCTTCCCATTCATTTTGTCATATGTACAGTACTTTCCTAATATTTCACCTGCCATTTCTGGAGATATCTATGACCATAGTCTTGATACACCGGGCTTCTAATTGTCCTTCTTTGTGTCAGCACATGGTCCTATGCAAGATTCATTCCAAATACAGTTGTTTCAGATGATACATAGGTTTTTCCCTACAACATCTTGAACTTACAGTTGTGAGGTCAACTCCCCAGATGCACAACTCATAGATCCATATTAAAAATTAAATGACCTATAAACGAGTTCAGCACAAGCATTCTGTATTTTCTNTTTATAAATCATATGTCTGACATCCAGTGTTAAATGACCTATAAACGAGTTCAGCACAAGCATTCTGTATTTTCTCATCAGTATCCTTCATTGCCTGTTCCAGGCAGAATTTAAGCAGTTCTGCTTCAATTTATTTTGTCATCCATCAAACAGCTCTTTTCTGCAGCTCTCCATAGGAGAATGAAGGATGCTTTGCCTGAAGCTACTTATATCTGTTTTCAACCTTTTTATTATATCCGTCAGAACACAACTAATATCAAGATCAGACCATTTTCGGCCCTGCTACACGTTTCGGCTGTTGATAGCCATCATCAGGCAAACACGTGATTTACACACACATATACACACTGCTGAACCACAGCACCAACAAGATTGGATACAATATTATTAAAATATATAAAAACACTTGATGTAAAAAATACAAAAATCAAGTTATGTGAAACAGAAGTACGGTATAAAATAAAAATAAAATTCTTTTGGTGTTTTTACATCAACGTGTCAGTCGTTGGTTTGTGATTTGTTTTTTGTTTCATCCCCACGGACAAGTTGGAATATTCATACTTATGCGTATATAAAATTGTGTATGAGGCTCGTAATGTAGATGTAGTAAAGTAAATTATAATATTAGTCAGTGCCTCATCTCACAAAGTATTGTCCATACTGTAGGGAATGTATATGACTCAATGTAGCTGAAACATATAGCAGGGCCAAAAATGGTCTGATCTTGATATTAGTTGTGTTGTGACGGATATCATAAAAAGGTTGTAAATTATAACAGCGGGATGCATGAAATTAAAATTATAGCTGTTTTGTTGCCCCTTTTCTGCTACAGCCACACATATTGCACTACTTCAGTGGTTGTAGCTCTCACTTATGCTGGCTTTATCCTTATCTCCTTCACCTTCATAGACGTTGAACTGATGGTAGGGAAGGCTGAAAGACTTGTTTGGGTGCCAGTAGTCACAAGGCAGGGTGACCACAACTGTGCAAGATGCCTTCTGGTAGGAATAGGTAGCGAGATAGCTATCTCAGGGTTGGGTCTGGAAAAACAAGAGATTTGTCCTTGGGTTTTAATGGGCCTTGCTGTAGCAGGGCAGGAGACAAATTTTAGGTCACACACACTTGCACACAATAACGACAGTGATTGGCATTGAACTGCGATTTATTAAACAGCACTGGAGGCAGATTACACTGATACACTATCAATTGCAGTTCCATTTTTATAGTGTTAAACACTCCATGGCAGTTAAGTTCAATTTATGGTACAATTTTTCATCATGATCTTGTAATAATTTAGCATAAACACTCGTCTAATATGTTACTTTAGAATTTCTGGGGAACGCAGGTTTTGCATCTGAATGTTTTGAAAGTCGGAATCAGAGTCCCATGGGGAACTCTTCTGCTCTGTTGCAGTGAGCTATTCAGAGCCTTCAACTTCCCTCTAAGGAGCGTCCCCTAAACCTGCTTTGTTGGTCTAGTTTAAAACTTTGGTGGTCCAGAAAATTTATATCTTGCAATCAACAAAAGTTGCTATTAAGATACCAACTGCCTTCTGGTCAGCTCGATGAATTACAATGGTCATAGCATCTGTTGGTGGCCCTCCTTCCCAAAATTTATTGATCAGCTGAGATGTCAGGTATCAGTTTTCCAAAGCTCTGACATCATGTTGAACTTCACTAAACTACTTCACAGTAGAAGTGCAGATGGCTACTTCCTGTTTGCATAGAAAGAATGGCCTTAAGTAACATTCTAATGTAAGAATGGGTCTATCTCTCCCTATCTAGACCATGTAACATATACTTTAAATACAATAGTTTCTATTAGTTATGGGCCTCCAACTTATTGACTGGTTACAATGTGTTTGTGTGACACTTGATTATTGTTCTCATAGGCAGCTATGCCAATGTGGTGCCATGTGCCAACTTTCTCAGCATTGTGTTCGCTTGCATTATTACATGCCTGATGTTTATGGCATCAGATTTTCCACATACATCATTGATGGTGTAATTAGATGGCATATCAGAATGCACTGACATTTCATTGTGATGGTCTTGAAGTGTGAAAGCATTCTCTTGCAAAGCGAAGTTCTTTGCTGTGAAGAAAACCTGTTCCTCCAGTTCAAGTGTCATTCTGTGCTGGACGTAATTTCTGTAGCTTGTTGAGTTTGATGATGTTGGAAGAAGGTAACATTCCATTCCATTATGTTTATGTATAGCTGGTGTAACTTCCTGTTGCATTTGTTTCCATCTTTGGATGTTTGCCTCGAAAGTTACTGTTTGCTTGCTGCTTCACATTTCTTTGTTTCTTGTTCCTGTTTAATCACCGTAAACTTAGGCTACAAATTCTAACTGCTGGTGCCCGATACTGTGACACATTCCTGTAGCTCATCCCTCTTCTTTACAAAATATGTAATTTTTGTGGTGGGGGACACCTATGTTAGTGCAGAATTTTGTAATATAAATTGATAAATTACCAGTTAATTACTACTTTTATTTCCTCACTTCGATGGTATTTCAGGCAACATTTTTGTAGCTCTTGGCTTCTGAACCTGACAAAACATACATCTGACTCTTGTTTGCTACTGTCATAGTAAAATAGTGCCAATTTTGGCATGAACACATCATGAGCTTACAAGGGATCAAAACATGTAATACACAAGTTGA